GTGGCGAGCGTCCGCTGTCCCCCCCCCCCCCCAATAGACTCCTTCTGCAGGATGTCCCGGCGGGTCCCCCAACCAGTGTTCCCTCTAAGCTGAGTTAGTGTGAGCCAGCTCACATTTTTTTTAGCCTCCGGCTCAGACATTTTTGTCTCGGCTCAGGAAGGAGGGCTCCAGAGCAAACTGATTGATGCGGTAGACAAATTGCCTGCTCTCAACTTGAATGCCAGCCGCTCACAAAGTAGCATTTTTGCTCACAAGACTCCGCCGCTTAGAGGGAGCATTGGTCCCAACCAGTGTTCCCTCTCAGCTGAGTGAGTGTGCGCCAGCTCAGTTTTTTAGCCCCTGGCTCACACATTCTTGTGTCTGCTCAGGGAGGAGAAGAAGAAGAGATTGCACTTACACTCTGCCCTTCACTACCCAAAGGTGTCTCAGAGCAGCTTACAAACTCCTTTCCCTCCCCCTCCCCACAACGGACACCCTGTGCGGTAAAAGAAGAAGAAGAGATTGGATTTACACTCTGCCCTTCACTACCCAAAGGAGTCTCAGAGCAGCTTACAAACTCCTTTCCCTCCCCCTCCCCACAACGGACACCCTGTGAGGTAAAAGAAGAGAGAGGAGATTGGATTTATACCCCGCCCTTCACTACCCAAAGGAGTCTCAGAGCGGCTTACAAACTCCTTTCCCTTCCCCTCCCCACAACAGGCATCCTGGAAGGCAGGTGGGGCTGAGAGAGCTCTGACAGAAACTGCTCTTTTTCAAGAACAGCTCTGACAGAACTACGGCTTGCCCAAGGTCATCCAGCAGGTGCAAGTGGAGGAGTGGAGAATCAAACCCACTTCTCCCGGACTAGAGTCCGCGCGCTTAACCACTACACCAAACTGAAAAAGAAGAAGAGATTGGATTTCTACCCCACCCTTCACTACCGAAAGGTGTCTCAGAGCGGCTTACAAACTCCTTTTCCTTCCCCTCCCCACAACAGACATCCTGTGAGGTAGGTGGGGCTGAGAGTGCTCTGACAGAAACTGCTCTTTTTCAAGAACACCTCTGACAGAACTATGGCTTGCCGAAGGTCATCCAGCAGGTGCAAGTGGAGGAGTGGGCAATCAAACCCAGTTCTCCCAGATTAGAGTCTGCGCTCTTAACCACTACACCAAACTGAAGAAGAAGAAGAAGAGATTGGATTTATACCCCGCCCTTCACTACCCAAAGGTGTCTCAGAGCGGCTTACAAACTCCTTTCCATTCCCCTCCCCACAACAGACACCCTGTGAGGGAGGTGGGGCTGAGAGAGCTCTGACAGAAACTGCTCTTTTTCAAGAACACCTCTGACAGAACTATGGCTTGCCCAAGGTCATCCAGCAGGTTCAAGAGGAGGAGTGGGGAATCAAACCCGGTTCTCCCAGATTAGAGTCCGCGCACTTAACCACTACACCAAACTGGAGGATGGCTCCAGAGCAAACTACCTTATGCAGTAGCCAAATGGCTCGCTCACAACTTTAATGCCAGGAGCTCACAGAGTAGCATTTTTGCTCACAGGACTCCACAGGTTAGAGGGAGCATCGATCACAGCCAGCTCTAACTGACGCCTGTGTTGCAGTCCGCAGATGGGACTTCTTGCGTTCCCATCCCCTCAACAGTTGCGAACTCGCCAAAGGCCAGCAAGAGCGGAGGCTGCTAGGATGCGGGTTTGCTGGAGAGGAAACGCCCCTGGAGTTGGCGGGATTGGCTACCGGGGACACTTTTACCTCGGCTTGCCAACATCCAGGTGGGGCCTGGAGATCTCCCGGAATGACAGGGAGACAGATCACTTCCCCAAAGGAAAGGGCAGCTTTGACGGGTGCACTCCAAGGCATTTGGTCCCCCACTGTCTTATATCCTTCCTGTACAGAAATATCCCTACACACAGAGGGTTCAACATCCAATTGTGGAGCCCTAATACTTCCCTCCGCTACCATCAGCTTTAATGTGGCAAACAAATCCCTGCCAAGTATAGGAGTGCCATGAGGCAGAATGTAAAATCCTATAGGTGCGCAGCATGTGCCAAAACTCACTTCAGCAGGGATTTGGGTACCTTCTTTAAATAACGTATCAGTCCCTGCTTTCCTGAGGCTCCACCCCCAGACTGGCAGGAATTTCAAAGTCTGGAGTTGGCCACCTGGATTGCAGTATGCTGCTGCCACCATCCTGCACACGTTTCCTCCCGAGTAAAGGTGCATGGAGTTTAGCGAGCCTCGCTTGGGTAGAAAATTCGTTTAGCAAGGCCCTGTTTTGGAGTTGCAACCATGCAACTAATTTAACCCTTTCCACCCAGGTGTGCTTTTGTGGGTTTAATTCAGCTGTGGGGACAGGCAGAATGGGGGGGTGAGTTTTGCCTCTTGATCCACTCTTGTTGTTAATGAGTGGGGAGAGTCATGGATTGCTTTTGACACCTGCAATGTTCCCTTCTAGACTGAGTTAGTGTGAGCTAGCTCCCAGTTTTTTAGACTCCGGCTCCCACATTTCTGTCTTAGCCCAAGAAGGATGGCTCCGGAGCAAACAAACTGATGCAGTCGCCAAATCGCTCGCTCACCACTTAAATGCCAGTAGCTCACCAAGTGGAGTTTTTGCTCACAAGACTCCACGGCTTGGAACAGGGGTGGCCAAACTTGCTTAACGTAAGAGCCACATAGAATAAATGTCAGATGTGTGAGAGCCACAAGGCACGAACAAATATAACCCACGCGTTTTTATAGAAAAGTATGCAGATTGGCTTTTTCATTAATCGAGACTGCCAAAAATAAAAACAAAAGTGGCAAAAATAGATATTGATAATGATTAAACGGGGAGAGAGGGGAGAAAGAGAGAGAGAGTGTGTGTAAAGAAAGAGGGTGTAAAGGAAGTGTAAAGAAAGCAAATAGATGGGAGGGAGAGGTGGAAAAGAAGCAACTTTAACTTTAAGCAGGGGTCATTTCCTGCGGGAGCGCACAGGAGCGTAGCTCCGGCAGTAAGTAGCCCAGGGGGCAGGCACATGCAACAAGCCTCACCCCCTGCTCCCAGCAGCTACCAGTTGGACCAGGAGGAGCAAGAAGCAGCCAGGTAAGTTGCAGAGCCCCCCCCCCGGCCCGCCTTCAGGTACAAGCTCTCCCTCCTCTGCAACAGATTTGCACATCCCCCCCCAATAGCTAGCAATCCAAAACAGCCCAGTGTAGCCTGAGCAGTGGGTGTTGCCTTCCGACACACTTCCGGTGATGTCAGGGGGTGTGGCATATGCAAATGAGTTATGCTAATAAGTTATGCTAATGAGCTTCTGCACCTTTTTTTCTACGAAATGACCCCTGACTTTAAGTGCATCTTTCAAGACCCCCATGCAAGCTGGATTGGCTTGGAGACAGGGTTTAAAGAGACAAATGCCTTCTCCAAGCCGGCCGGCGGGGGTGGGGGTGTCTTTAAGAACACATTTAAAGTTAAAAGTTGCTTTCTTCCTCTGCTCCCTCCACCTCAAGCCTACCCAGGGAAGGGAACACTGGCTGGGGAACGGAAGACCGCCCTGCCGGGAGCCACACAATATGTGTGAAAGAGCCGCGTGTGGCTCTTTCACGTCCCGTCATTCACAGCCTTGCTCCCATCTTGCAAATCAGGGGCCCCCCGGCTGCCTTTGCTGAGTTGCTCCATCTCATGTTGGGTCTTCCTCTGTTCCAGCTGCCTCCAACGTTTCCTAGCATGGTTGTCTTTTCCAATTACTCTTGCCTTCTCATAATGTGACCAAAGTATAACAGCCTCAGTTCGGCCACTTCAGCTTCTAGGGAGAGTCCAGACTTGATTTGATTTAGAATCCACCAGTTTGTCTTTTGGGGTGGTCCCTGGTGTCTGTAAAACTCTCCTCCCACACCACATTCCAAACAAGCCAGCCTTCTTTAGCTGTTGTAGATTTTCCGGGTTGTCTGGCCGTGGTCTTGGCATTGTAGGACCTAACGTTTCGCCAGTAGCTGTGACTGGCATCCTCAGAGGTATAACACAGAACGGCGCAGTACTCCAAAGGGATCTGTCAAAGATGGGCAAGTGGGCGTCAACATGGCAAATGGGTTTCAATGTGGCCAAGTGCAAGGTGATGCACATTGGAGCCAAAAATCCTAGAAATACACATTGATGGGGTCTGAACTGACAGAGACTGATCAAGAGAAAGATCTTGGAGTTGTAGTAGATAACTCACTGAAAATGTCGAGACAGTGTCTGACTGCAATAAAGAAGGCCAATGCTATGCTGGGGATTATTAGGAAGGGTATTGAAAACAGATCAGCCAATATCATAATGCCCCTATATAAATCAATGGTGCGACCTCATTTGGAATACTGTGTGCAATTCTGGTCACCACACCTTAAAAAGGATATTATAGCTTTGGAAAAAGTGCAGAAAAGGGCAACTAGAATGATAAAAGGGTTGGAACACTTTCCCTATGAGGAAAGGTTAAGGTGCTTAGGGCTCTTTAGCTTGGAGAAACGACGACTGAGGGGTGACATGATCGAGGTTTATAAGATTATGCATGGGAAAGAGCAGTTAGAGAAAGAGGTACTTTTCTCCCTTTCTCACAATACAAGAACTCGTGGGCAGTCCATGAAATTGCTGAGCGGTCGGGTTAGAACGGATAAAAGGAAGTACTTCTTCCCCCAAAGAGTGATTAACACTAGGAATTCACTGCCACAGGAAGTGGTGGCGGCTACAAGCATGGACGGCTTCAAAAGGGAATT